ACACTGTCACATATTTATCAAAGTTGGTTCTGATTCCTGGCAAATTCAACCGTATCTTGAGTTATATATTTTCCACTCTAATTCTCAATTCTAGACCTCTCGTACCTCAACCATCAAGCTCACAATCAAACCCTGAGCCTTTTTCTCCATTTCACACTCTTTTCTCAATCTCAAACCACAAACCTATTGACAAATTCATTCATTCCTTTACCCAATGGTAACTGAACTCCTCCTGTCTGATTAACACCATGCCCACATGATAACCACAGGGATTTATAAATGGTAAAAACAGGATCATTGTTCTTGCAGTTAAACAGAGAGACACTTAAAAAGAATTTTAAATAACAGTTATGAGGATTGAAGAAATATAGTTGACCTTTGAACAAAGACAGGATACCAAATCCCTGTGCAGTAAAAAATCCTAGTTTAATTTACATTTGATTTGATGTTTAAACAACAAAGGTTTGAATTGCATGGGCTTAAGTGTGGTTGTATCCATTAAAAATGCTGTAGGTATAAATACATTTAAGCACTTCAAATGTATGCTGTTCAGAGGTCAATTTTCTTTTCAAAAGAAAAAAAAATACAGAAGGTTATGGTGAAGGCCTTACACAATTTTGAGATTAAGGAAAAAATATCTTTCTAGAGCTTTTGTTCATTTGTTTTCCAATCTCATTCTGGCACTGAGGGCCCTTAATACCTTTATTTTTTATTAGTTTGTTACTCTTCTAATCCCATCTTCATCCATGAATAATTATTTTCTACCACTTTCTTCCCAATACCCTAATCACTCCCTTCCCCCCCACCTTTGAATTCTCCTATGCTTTAACTCTTCAACCCCGGATCAAAGCCAACTGTCATTTCACTTAAAAGGCTTGCAGAGAAAACTGCTCCACATAATCTTCATTATCTCCAGAACTGCTCAGAATTTCTACTCTTGTAAACTTCAATACAGTCTCATTTCTCCAGTTCTCACATACTCTATTTTAATCTTCTCCAACTCTCCAAATACATTTTGGGTCACTTCAGACAAAAAAAGGGAGACATTATCTTTCATGTATTTTATGTATTTGTTAACTAATCAGCAAATACTTCAGTGTCTAACATGTCCCATGAGTTCTGGGGTCTACTGAGTAGAGCTGCACTGTCAACTCCATAGACAGGTGGTATGAATCCACCAGCTGCTCCACAGGAGAAAGATGGGCTATCTCCTCCCATGCAATTTACGGCCTCTGAAAACCTTCTGGAGGGTCAGCTATGAGTCAGTTCCAACTCTATGGCACATGACAATTTAGTGTTAAGGATTCAGAAGTGAACAAACCAAGACAAACATTCTTGCCCTTTGTGGAATTTATTATATTTTGAGGGGGTTGAGGCACAAGCAGAAAATGTAATGTGTAAATAAATAACAGTTTGCAAAAGTCTCTACATGCTATAAATGAAATGTGTCTACTTTGAAGAAGAAAAAACACTTGAAGGTGGTGAGGGAATTAAGAAGATCTATGAGGAAGAGTGTTTGGCAGAGGGATTGTCTCTGTTAACGTGCCATGTTGGGAGCACGTCTGGCATGTGGAGGGAACAGCAGTAAACAGGGAAAGCCAGCAATAAGGTGAGAGAGGTCACTGAGGCCAGATGGTAAAGGGGCTTTGAGGCTATTGTTAAGAAGCAGCTTTTCTCAGAAGCCAAAGAGAATATAGAGGGTTTTGAACAGAGGAATCAAGCAGGACTTCCTTTAACACACTGCTACCACACCCACTTCAAAGGCATTATTTTCCATACTCTGTTTCCTGATGTTTTAGTAGAAAAGCCACTCCTCTTCTCAGTTCATCCACCTCTGTTTTGTATTTAAGCCACTGCTGTTGTGCCAGCAACTTCCTCCCATCAATCATCCTGTTACTGACTTGCCAACACCTTTAACCTCAACCTTTATAAAGTTTGCATCTGCAGCATATAATTGCTCTGGACTTCTAAACAGCATCTCTCAATTCTGTTATCTCTCTCTAATGCCTTGACACTCTTGGTACCATCAATCAGGAGATCAAAAGATGAACTGCATTGGGAAAATCTGCTGTCAGGAACCTCTCCAGAGTACAGAGAAGGAAGAATGTCAGTCTATAGACTAAGGTACTCCTGATCCAGGCCATGATCTTCACAATTACTTGCTATGCATCAGAGATCTAGACAATGACTAAAGATAAGAGAAGAAGAATTGATGCTTTCAAATTGTGGTGCTGGAAAAGAATTATTGAACATACCATGGGCTGACAAAAATCATTAATTTGTCTTAGAGAGGGTGAAACCAAGTTTCTCTTTGGAGGCTAGGATTTTAAAACTCCATCTCACATACTTTGGGCAGGTGACCAGTAGGGACCTGTCCTTGGAAAAGGACATCAGGCATGGAAGGTTGAGGGTGGCAGGACAGCACAGGAGAGGAAGACCCCAGAGATGGATTGATAGCAGTAACTGGGGCAATAGACGTAGATGTATCAGAGTCAGTCTTAGGATAGGGAAGGCTTCAGAGCTCTTGTACACAGGGTTGAGGTGAGTTGCAAGTGACTTGATGGCACATAACAACAAGAACACAATGCCATGACAGACGACACTGGTAGACAAGTGCTGAACCCATAAGAGAAAACAATAAACAAGCAACCATGTATGTATGTTTGTGTACACAAACAATAAGCAAGTTATCCCTCCAATACAACATATAATTGTTGTAACCATAAAACAATCAAGCATACAAATATAAGACAAACTTGCAAACTATGGGAAATATAAAACACACTGTCTGGCCTGGTACAATGTACCTGCCAGCTCAGCAGAAGAGCTGATCCAAGTCATGGTATTTTCAATTGCTTCCAAAGCATCTGAAAGTTAGGCAATGAATAAGGATGTCAGAAGAAAAAGCAATGCCTTGGAAGTGTGGTGTTGGAGGTTAATACAGAATAGTCCACGGACTACCAAAAGAACAAACAAATCTGAATTGGAGGAGATGCAACCGATCACCTTGTAAGAAAGAATTGTGAGACTTGATCTCACAATCTTTGGGCATCTTGTCAGGAGGGACCAGCCCTTGGAAAAATATATCAAGATGAGAAGTAGAGCATCAGAGAAAGAGAGACAGATTCTCAACAGCATGAATTGGCAACAGTTAACAGTAATACTGGTTCGGACATATCAGGTGATGAGGAAGCATCAAGAAAGGACAAAGTTCAGATCTCTTGTTCACAGAGTTGCTATGAATTGTAGACAACTCAGTGGCTCCTAACAACAACAACAACATAATTCCCTACTACATTCACTTTCCTTTTGTTAGCGATTTATGTGCTTAAAACACTTCACCCTACCTCTACTACTTCACCTTATTCAGCTGACCCTCCAATAGGTTTTCAGAAACTGCTAATTGCCCATTTCCCCCCCCCCCCAAAGCAGCTGGTGGAGACCACGTGACACGCGGGCCCCGGCACCGGACACGCCCCGGTCCGGCCCCGTCCGTAACACCCCCTTGCCCAAAGCAGCTGGTGGATTCAAACCACATGCCTTTGGATTTGTTGTACAACTCCTTACTGACTAGGCTACCAGAGTTCCCTTATAATTGTACACTTATCAAAATCAAGACCAATGATGTAATATAATTATTCTTATTTATCCTTTAAAGTTACTTTAGTTATCTCTCAATTTAATATTATTCTTTTCCTTTCATGCCTCTCTATTGCATTCAGAATAAAATACAAATAGCCACAACGCTTTAGAGTCTGACTCCTGTCCCTCATTGTTCAGGAATGAGTTTTGCTCTTCCTCCAAAAGTCTAAGGCCTTTGTGTCTTCAACTCATCACACAGAATGTCCCATCCACCTTGTAACCCCTTCCCTATTTATACAAGTGATCTCCTTTCTTAAGTCTGATTATAGGTATCACTTTCAGAAAACCTTCTGTTAACCCCCCAGATCTTTTTGGATTCTTTCCTGGATGGTCTTGGTTCTCACTGGCTTCTCTCTGGAATTATCAAATGGAATGGAACACACGCTGATTTGGTCAATTATTCAGCCCATTAAGCCCCAAGAGAGGGCCATTCTCAGATATCTGCAAATCCCCAATAATACAAAGCACATTGTTGCCTGGGTTAAGTCAAATTTCAATATTTCATATAGGAAGTAATGTCTATAACACCCTATGCCATGTCCTTGTTATATCCTCCTGGTATCATTAATACAAATGTCATGCATCTGTGTATCATTTTCTATCTGCTTCCAAGTCCTCTTACTTTGGTTTTATAGAAAATTAATTATCCTTCGGGCTAAATTAAATCTTACTCATTTTTAAAAGTATAGCATTTCCAATGAAAATGTTTTCTAAATGCAGCAAGTAATGGGAAATGAATTAAAAATTTAAGAATTACCTTCTAATAGAAATACCTTAGAGTTGAAATAGATAAAGCTCAGTAACCTGGTAAAACTACCTCTTACGTCCTTGCAGTTACTTTAAAATCTCGTGATTCATTATCAATGACCTGAAACTTGAACATTTCATTTGTCTGAGGTCAATTTTATTAATTGAAAACTAACATAAGGACGTAGCCTTCTGCTTTAAAGAACAGCAAATTCATCTAGATCTACAGTCAAATGTAGCATTTACTTAGAAAGATGGTGTGAACAGACAGAACAACTGTATACAAATGTGAGAGAAAGAAATAAGAATCACTGGCATAATCAAGATAATAGACGAAATGGTAAAAATAAAATTCTTCCGACTCCTGGATAGGAGAATAACATTTTCCACGCACATCCCAGCACACTGAATAAAAGCATCAAGACTGTCAGTATGTGACTGTGAGGAAACAAGGGGCTGCGGGTCGGCATCTCAAGGCACGAGGCCCCGGCCCAGCGCCAGGCACTGTTACTCTGAGTGGGAACCAACTTCACAGCACCACACATCACTTCACATAGATCAGAAAAAGCAATGCTGAATCTTATTATCAAAATTGAAGATTCATTCCTTACCTGAACCTGAGAAATTGTCTAAAGACCCGTCTGCTGTTGTTGAAGCTATTTCACTGCTGCTCATTGGCTCTGTTTTAACTACAAAAATAAACAACATAAATCACGTGTCTAATTGATAGCTATTTGCAAAGTCATCGTAAAGACAACATTCAAAATAGTAACATAAAATCAAATGCAATCCTTTCTTATTTGAATAGAAATCATATTAAAATTCTCAATAGGCTACTTTTTAAAACATTCTTGTGAAATTGTTATTTTTCCCCCTACCCTGTAAGGGAAATTATTTTCTTTGGAAGGATGTGAATTTATTATGGCGATGTAATTAATGTTCTAAAAGAACATGTGCATAAATGGTTGAATAGAAAATAAATTTACTTCATAAATTTCCTCCTCAAACCAAAATAAAAATAAAAAGAAATTATTTAAAACAAACATAATAAAGGTTATGTAATATTTACTAATTGCTTAATAATAAATGACCTTTCTTAAAAAGAATGTTGAAATGAAACTATTTCCTGTTTTCTAAAAAAAAATAATATCCAAACAAACTTAAAAAAAAAAAGAACAAAAAGATTCAAAGTAAAATAAAATACATAATGTCTGAAATACCAGCAGGTTTTCATGATGTTTAAGAGCAGATGTATACACACAAACATCCTGTGAATATGATGCACATATACATATACACACAGATACACAGACTCTATCTTTCACTATATCTGTCCAGCATGGCTGAAAGATAGATAATAGATTACTGTCAACTGGCTATATTTTAGACACAGTAATAACCAAAGACACACTAAATGTAAATGTTATTGTTGAAGGCCATCGAGTTGAGCACAACTGATAGGGACTCTATGAACAAAAGGCCTGAAGTCTTTCTGTAATTCTCCTTGTTTCTCCAGGTTTACAGAGTTTCCAGAAGCATGTTGTTTAGGACGTGGATGCTTCCAAAAGTTTAAATAAAATTGGAAAATATTTTCTATTCAAAACAATACCTATAGGACATAGTTTTCAGAACAGTAATGCCCCTTTGGGCTATGAAATAAAACAATGACAAAATACAGATTTATGTTAAAAGTTCTTCAAAAACAACAGCTCCAAGACACAGTGACATTACCACACTTCTACAAAGAAAGGATAAAAAACTATCATTTTTTTTTCCTTTAGAAACCAGTGCTGAGGTGACATTCTTGGAATTTATCTAGGCTACACTGATGAAGTTGTCTCTTTACCAAAAGGTGTTCTGAAGTAAAGCAATACTCTTAAAAAACAGTAACAAGTATGCAGAAATTATGCCGTGATATTATAAAAACCACTTAAAAATCAAAGTGCTGTCCAAAATGATGACTCCAACAATAGAATATTTGTCAAACTCGCCCACAAAGTAAACCCATACTATAAAAAAAAAGATGACAGAGAAAATGCCTTTTTTTTTTCTATTTCAACTCTATCCATTTCTTACAAACATGGCAAAGGCCACAGTCCCTCTGCAGCTACAGGGCCTTCTACTATATGACTAAGGCATGAGTACTTTTTTTAAAAGATGATTAATAGATTCATCAGATAGTCACTTACAAAAATGAATTATTTAGATTGTTTCCGTACAATGTTAAAAAGGAAAAATTAGAACTGGTGAATCTAATGGAAAGCATTCTGCCTGATTATTTTAATGCAGACCAAACAACAGTGAAACTAAAGTTTCACTTGCCTACCAGTTGTTTTGGGTTAACAGTCTTCATTGATGCTAATGCGGTCTGACATAAGTCCACATTTCCTTTCTCCCTCTATGCCACCAGGCACCCTAATGATCCCTCCCTTCCCAACCATTACACTGACAGATCTTTAGGAAAGCAAAGCAGGTATGTCACTGGTGGTGCACAGTTCTGAAGTTTCCTGTTCAGCTATCCACATCACAGACTGCCTCTCTGAAAAAGAACTCATATATTAATGCATAGCGACACAAAGTAGATTAGAGGTTACCAGAGGTTGGGGGAGGCGAGCAGGGGGAGTTATTGCCTAACGGGCACAGTGTTCCTACTGGGAATGTTAGCAAAGTGCTGGAAGCAGACAGACAGTGGAGCTGCTTGCACAACAAGTCAGTCTCATTAACACCACTGGATTATACATTTATAAATTATTCCAATGACAAATTTTATATTCCATGTATTGTTTTGTTGCTGTGAACTGGTTCCAGTTCCTGTCAATGGAAACTGCTCCATTAGGTTTTCAAGGCTGAGCCCTTTCAGAAAATTGCTAGGCCTTATTCCCTAGTGGCAAGGTAAATAATGCATTGGGCTACCAGCCGAAAGGTTAGTGGTTTGAACCCACGAATCACTCTGTGGAAGAAAGATGGGCCACCTCCTCTTAAAAAAAATGTTCAATGCC